GTGACCAGATGTGCTTTGGCCAGTTTCCTGCTGTCACATGTTGTCCCTTCACCTGGACATCTCGCTGGTCCTGCCACTGCCCTGGGCCAGGGGTCTGGGTCAGGGCAGCCCAGCTAGGTTGTGCAGTGTCATTGTCACTGCTGGGATGTGTAGTGTCTTTGCACTGGCCAGGATGTGCAGAGTCACTGTTGAGGGTGTGCAGTGTCAGTGTCACTGCATGAAAAATGCAGTGTTAATGTCATTGCCCAGGATGTGCAGTGTCAGTGTCACTGTTGAGGGTGTGCAGTGTCATTGTCACTGCATGAAATATGCAGTGTCACTGTCACTGGTCAGGGTGTGCAGTGTCACTGTCACTGTTGAGGGTGTGCAGAGTCACTGTTGAGGGTGTGCAGTGTCACTGTCACTGGTCAGGGTGTGCAGAGTCACTGTCACCACCCAGGATTTGCAGTTTGGCTGCTCCTGCTGCAATCTCCCTCTCGGATACCAAAGAACAAAGGCTGCTTTGCAAAGCACTGCCCCACCCCCTGCTGCCTCCACCCCAGCACCGAGGGCATCAGAGCCTTTCCCAAAAGTGGCACCAGGATGATTTCAGGCAAGGACCTGGGCCCTTCCTCAGAGAGCCCTTGGGAAAGGGGGTACTCTGTGCCCTAACAGGGCAGTTTTGAGGGGGCTGGAGCTTCACAGTGCCTGGTGGTGTCACCCCCATGTCCCCCCAGGGCTCAGGGACTGGCCCAGTGCCCGTTTGGTGCTGGGGATTGCTCTGGGTCTGTGTCCCGGTGTTGGGAGCTGACTCCTGACACAGACCTGCCCTGCTGCCACACAAGTGGGCTCAGTTTGAGGCTACTCTGGTCCCTGAATTTCGTTTTGGGGGGCCTGTCCTTAACCCCCTCCCTAGCTTAGCACCAGCCCAGGCTCAATCCCTGCAGTCGGGGCCACATTTCACCTCCTTCCTTACCTCAACATGATCACCAAAGATGGGGGAGCCCCCTGTGCCCCCCAAAGCCCTGCTGCTCTCCCCAGCTCTGCTTCTCTCCACCCCTGCAGCCTTCCCCAGGCCAGGCAGGGCCAGGCTGCCCCTCTCCACACCCTCCCCTATTTAAAGCACTGCTCGCTTGGGGCCGAATTCCCAACAATGAGGGAAAAGGACGCCGGGAAAACCCAGCTCAAAGAGGTTTAAACTCAGGAATAGCGAGGGGGAATTCCCTGCTGGGCACCCTCTGCTGTCACCGGAGCCTTACCTGGTGGCTTTGACCTTAACTTTAAAATATATGCAATCTTCCCTCCCTGGTCTCTGGAAAAGACAGAGGCCACCTTCAAGGAATCCCTTTCCTGCCCCAATCCCATGTTTTGTCAGGGTTAATAATATGTAATGTTACCTTTTAACTAAATTATTCTGCAGTTGTCCTACTGATTGTATTTTTAATGAGTCCCTGTTTTCTTCCCTGACACCTTTGTGTTGGCACTTTTTAATCTGCTTGTTGTTTGCCCTTGTTTCTATGTATATTTATAATTAAGTTGTATATATGTAAAGAGATTTTTTAGACTATGTGCCTTGGACTAATAATTCCTGAATTTTCTACTTGCCTCAGAAGGATAATTTTTCATTCTGCTCAGTAAAAACGGAACAGAAGCCACATGTGAGATTTCTGTAACTCCCAGCTCTGTCTCTATCTCCTGGTCTATCCAGCTTGCCCCAAGAGCCCAGCAGGGATTTGGATCAGGAATCCAATGCTGGCAGCTGGACTTTGTATCTCCTGTGTCACCAAATCGGTGACGTTGAGGGCTGTTGTCCCAAGTCTGTCCTTGGGAGAAGGAGGATCCTGGCTGGATCCAGCCTTGGATGAGGCAGCTCCCTCCGGCTTGGCTGGAAAAACAGAGATAAAGGAGCCTCTGTTCCAGTTTCCCCCAGCTGTGGGATGTCACAGCCAGGCACTGCTGGATGGAAGGAGGGATGGGGTGACCCTGGTGAGTGATCCCTAAATGTGAGCGGGATCCTCCCAGCATCCTTAACGTGCTGGAGGCTCTGCAGGGGGGTCAGACTTGGGAAACCCTGAGATTTTTCCTGGGTACAACCTCCCTAAGGGGGCTGTGGATGTGACAGGGAGAGCCAGCACTCCCCAGGCCCTGGGAGGAGGTGCAGCAGCATTCCTGCATGGCAGAACCTGAGCTGTCCCTGCCCAGGATGGGACACCAGCCCCATGGGCTTGGCTGGGCACGGCTGTGGCTTCACAAGCACCAAGACGCTGCCCCGAGGAGGAGGAGGAGGAGGAGGATGATCCTGCTGTGGTCAGACACATCCCTGGCTGCAGGGGATGTTTTACCATGCCCCAACATGCCTGGCTTCTGTTCTGCAGGAATTTCTGCTGGCCAGGGCTTGTACCATTGCTGGACCCATCCCCTCTGCTGCCCTGCCCTGCCAGGATTCCTGGGGACAGGAGGGATCCCAGAGGGGACAGCAGGGATCCCAAATGGGATAGGAGGGATCCCAAATGGGACAGGAGGGATCCCAATGGACACAAACCTTCCCCAGCTCTGCCTTTGCCCAGGGAGCCCCTCGGGAGCACACATCATGCCGGATTTGCACTTCCTCCTCAACGCTGAGGATTATCCCAGCTTGGCTTAGGAGTTGTGTAAGGTGGTGGCTTGCCAGCAAACTCCAAGCTGTCAGCAGAGTGGCGCAGCAGCCCCAGCCCCATCCCTGCTCCATCCCACAGCCAACACAGCAGCTCATTCCTAACGCCTTTATTGCAGGGGGACTCGTTACTGTGAGGGGGCTCTGGCTGCTCCTGCCTGCAGCGGCCACGGCCCCTGGAGCCTCTGTCCAGCAGGTGCACGCCGTGGGTCAGGGCTGCCCCACCAGCAGCTGGGTTGGAGGCAGCCCTTCATAGGGCTGGAGGAGGCTCCGTGGGCAGCAGGGCTGGCACGGGCAGGGGGACTGCAGAGCAGAGCTACAGGTAGGCAGGCAGGTCCTTCTCGATCACCTGTGGAGAAAAAGGGAGTGTTGCACCCTGAGAACATCCCTGGCTTTCCCCTCCTCCCCAGCAGCAGCACTTACAATGGGATCTTCCATCGGGCTGTATCTCTTCACTACTTGACCTTCCCGGTTAATGAGGAACTGTGGGAATGAAGCAACCCATGGTGAGTGAGTGCAGAGTGCAGAGTGCGAGCCCCCACAGGCTCACTTCCCCCTCAGCTGTGCTCTGGGCAGGCCAGGGGTTCCCACGGGTCTCTAGAGACAGAAACCCCTTGGGATGCTCCTGCCCTGACACCTGAGCAAAGCCCAATGTAAGGCTCCCTCCTACACCAGCAACCCCGCTCAGATCCCCAGAGGAGGCAACCAAAACCACTACAGTGTCCTACCTTGGTGAAGTTCCATTTTATTGCACTAGGAGAAAAAAAACAGGAGTGAGTTTTGGGCAGAAAAGCCCTTCCTCACCCTCCCTGAGCCAAGCCCTCCCTGCTGGCTGCAGGGCTGTGGCTCCCCAGGGCTCTCCCTTCCACACTCACTTGCCCAGAGTGCCTCTCCCTTTGGGCTGCTCCTTCAGCCACTTCCAGAGCGGGTGAGCATCGTCCCCGTTGACATCGATCTTGCTGAACATGTCAAACTTCACCCCGTAGCCCTCAGCAAATGCCTTGATCTGAGCGTTGGTCCCGGGCTCCTGAGGGGCCACACCAGCACCGTGAGGGTTCCTCGGTCCATCCCAACACTCCCGGGAACCCGAACCCCCCAACCCCACGTACCTGCTTCCCAAACTGGTTGCAGGGAAATCCCAGGATCCGTAAACCCCTCTCAGCGTATCGGGCGTGCAAATCGACAAGCTGAGTGTAGTTTACCGCCGTTTTCCCTCACTTGGAGGCCACGTTGGTGATGATGCAGACGTCGCCCCTGCAGAGGGGGTGGATGAGCTGCCCTTCCCCGCAGGGCACGGCCAGAGGTCCCTCACCCGCCGGGCCGAGGCGTGAGGGTTACGCAAGAGCCGCTGTGGCTCAACCTCGCCCAGCACTGCATTCCCGACCCCTCCGTCCTACCGGTACTTTTCCAGGGACACGTCGTTGCCATCGATGTCGAGGGCGACGAAGTCGTAGATGGCCTTGGCCGAGCGCCAGTCGTCCGCG